GATACTTTGTTCACAGAGACAGAAATGTTGTCTTTGTTTCCTGATAATTGATGATTGAGGGGTCAGGACCTTGCTGCGCTTGGCAGGCTTTGCTTTCACAAACAAGACCAAGATCCTCGTTTTAGGGTCGGAGGCTTGGAAAGTTCCCTGTTTCACTAGTTTTCAGGTTGCATGTTGGTGTTTTTTTTTTTAACACAGATGTTACTTAACTAGGTTAGTGTTCAGTATTCAGCCATTACTTTTTGCTGTTTCAGCTCTTTCTAAATAACTTCTGTCTATGTCAAACATGTATCTATTATTTGTAGCTAACGGCCTGTTATATCTTTACTATTTGTAATTGTTTATCTAGTACTATAATAAGCACACTCAGTATAATCACTACTATACGCTAACTATATTAACCATTTATCCTGTACTTCTAGCTTTCCCTTCAAACTCTTTATAGATTAACTTAAATAAACCATTTTAATTAATTATTTATGAATTATGATGAATAATTGTATTAATTTTTATACCATCAAACTAATGTAAGAATACAGTCACTTTTAATAATAAACAAACAAAAAAACAAGAGTTGAACCCTAACCAAAGCTCACTGTCCTGTCCTGATAAATTGAGCCTCTTTGAATTGACTGCGTGACATTTGGATATTTAAATGTGAGAGTCTGCCCTGTGGCCAATTGGTCCTTCAATTACAATGCTGCTGAGGCAAATTTTACTCTTTTTTGGGTAAATACGGATTCAATAGGATCTTCCACAGGCTCCACATTTGTGTTGTTGAGAGTATATCCTGTTCTTTGATTCTTATCTATGATGCAAACATGAACACAACTCTCTGCAAAACCAAGAAACATAAGTCTTTAGTTCAAAGGTTAATTTAAGTTTCTCTAGAAGGAAAGTTTCTTGATTTTGCATTTCTCTGTTTAAGAGTACCAACGCAACGCTACCCTAAAATTTGGCCGCACACACCACAAACAGATCACACGCAGACTGAATAAACACTGGTACGAATGGTTTAATCCAACTCTAAACACCTTGTTTACAGCAGCAACAATATTCCTGAGCTGTGATAGCAATAGGATTTGACTAATGTTGCTGAGCCAAAGGAACAGGCCCAACAGGTTGGGTTCTACAGGAAATAACAAGCGGAGACGTGACTTAAAGAAACCTGCTCAGCGGGCCTGGAGAGGAATTGCACAGACCAATGGAGATGTGGCTTCATGTATACAGTGAATATATGGAAAATACAAATACTAAAAGGCCCTTATTATAATAATTTTGGCCACAGGCAACACTATGAATACAAGTGAATACAATTAAATAATATCTTGGAGGGAGCTTTCCAAAGACAAAAACCTGATTAATAACCTTTACGATGCCATCATAATGGAATTCACTATTCTGTTGCATCATGGGAACTGTGGGATCCAGCATTGTTGGAGCTTGATACCAGGAAGAAAAAGCCAGAATGACTGCTTTGATTTGATAGAAGTGCAATAATAAACCACTGAAGCGGTCCTTTAACCAGATATATACTGCGTCAGTCCAAGCAATGTTCTCAAGCCCCTCTGTAGATGTGTGTGGTTGTACTGTAAAGGTCAAAGATCACGACCAGGGTACGGATTTGAATAAAATGAATATAAGGAAAAGAAAAGACACCACAAACAACCCATTCAAATATGTGGTGAGAAATTGGAAAAAAAAGCACTTGTCATTGCGTATGATACTGAGCAAGTCACTGCAGGTTGCTGCAGCTTCTCTTTGGACATGAACCAGGCCCTCGGAACAAGCCACTTTCAATAATCTGTTTTTGACTCTTGTGTCAAATGGTCAGAAAACAGAAAAAGTCCAGCGTACATCATGTACTTTTCGTATGCTAAAAGCTCTCTCATCTGCCCACACGCGCCAACACATAACTACAGTATGTAAATTGCCAAAATCAACCAACAAACGCATGCATTAACCCTCCCAAAAAACACAAAATCACCACTCAGTGAAAATATGAACACTAATGACACACAGAAATGGAGCAGGTGAAATGTGGCAGGTATGCTTCTTAAGTACCTGAGGGTTGTGTATCACTTAGAGTTACTGCAGAGGGATAGGGTTTAAGAAAGAAAGATATGATCTGTACACACACACACACACACACACACACACACACACACACACACACACA